AGCTGCCCCCATTCCCACTATTCACCAAGCAGATGCTAGGCAACGGAAGCTATGGATATGGACTTGCCGGGGTCTGGCATAGGGCACAGAGTTGCAGCCAGACACTCTGGGAGGCCTGTCCTCCCCTGACAGCCATTTCTGTGATTCCCATTTCTGTGATTCCTGGGTCCAGCAGGGGCAGCTTGCATGGTTCTTTCTGGGAGGGGGTGGGGGGAGAATGAGGACAGGAAGAGGAGAGGTCAGAGGGGCTATGGAGAGAGTATCCACATGGTTGAGTCTGTCCCTAGGTTGTCATGGCCTGCCGGGGCTCTGCCTAATGCTAGTGGATTAGCTGGAACTTTTAAGGTGGAGTGTAAAGAGAGAAGGATGGAAACAGGTTTCCTAAATATGCTGGCCATGTCTAGCTTTTCCAGTTTCCAGGAAGAGTGCCCTCCTCCCCATGCTTTTGATCCCTTGCTGTCAATCACGGTTTACTTCTTAGTTATCTGTGGGAGCAAGTGGAAGTAGAAAGGCTGGCTTCCTGGAAAGTAAAGTTGGCCCCGGGCAGAACAGGTGGATTGGTGCACACTGCAGACTGGAGCCAGTGGGTGGTGCTGTCCAGGGCCTCCTTGGTCTGGCCCCCACAGGAGGTGACCATGAAGGAGCTGCTAGGGTCAGCTGGAAGACCCATCCATCAGTGCCCTGTCTGTCTGAGTCACTTGGCGGGGCTGCAGCTGGCAGCCTGGGCTTGGCAGTGATTCCGTAATTGGCACCGAAGTCATTAAAAAGCCATCACTGTCTCCCTTCGTGGTTATTGTGTAGGATAGCCTAGAACAGTGCCCATCAGAAAGGCTAGGAGATGTTGGTGAGAAAGACAGACACTCTAAGAATGTGCTACAGTGAAGATGAGGCAGGGCCAGCTGGGTGGGGGCAGAGAGGGAACTGGGCCTGCTGAGCAAGGGAGAGGAGCTCTAGTTCTGCCCTCTCTCTGGGGACAGCCGTCATTGTTGTCATTGTTCTCCACCACATGCTGCTGTGCGCTGGGGATTCTTTGTTATTCACTCAGGAGAGGAGTTGTGTGCTTGGATGCATTGTTCTTAGCCAGGAACTCTCCTAGTGCAAGCTTGTCACTTTCAGCTGACTGTGGTCTGCCTAGTACCCTTGCAGTTCCCCTAGAAACCCGTGCTTTCCAAGGAACCCAGTTTTAACCACGCGTCATGCCCACTCTCGGAGCTTCTTGGTGTTGGTGGATCTATTGTAGGCTCTCTTAGATGGGACTTCTCAGCCAGGCACATGCTGCATCCAGCCAGCTGCTGCCCCTGTCATGCACACTCCCTTCCTTCTGGGTACTGGAACACACCTGGTGGTGAGTGAGCTGGTGGGCAGCTCACAGGGCACTTCTGAGGTATCTGAGGGTCTGGAATCTCTTTTGGAAGCTTTGCTCTTCGGTTCATCTATCTTTCTCTGAAGGCTCTGGGTAAGTCCTTTTTACCTGCAGTTTTATCCAGTAATCAGTGTTACTAAAGCTTGTGGCTCTTTGTCCTTCCTCCTGGGGAATGGGGACAGAAGGAGAGGAACAAACATGTTTACAGAAAGTTGTCTCTTGCCCCAGGCATAAGTGTGGAATGTCCACTGCATTTTGATAGTGCCTGTGGTAGGAAACCACCTCCCCTGCATGCGTAAGGACATTAGGGGACACAAGTTAGTGAGTCTGGAGTTTCTGAAAGCACCTTTTGTCAGTTGAGCTGCCGCTGTGAGCCAGCTTTTCTGGAGGTGGCTTTGCTGATGTGAGCTTTACCTCTCAGCTAAATGTTCTCTTGTAAATGACTAGAAATTCACATTGGCACCATAGAAGCCATCTTGTTTGTCCTGCTCAGCCACGAGCAGTTTAGGTGTGACCCAGGTGACTGTGTCTATCTCTGGCAGTGCCGTCTGAAAGTATATATGGCTTGTGACATCCCAGTCAACTGTGAAATGGGAATGACGACAGGAGGCACAAGAGGAAGCCAGCACTGCCTCATGAAAGTCACGCAGGGACTTCTGTGGTTCGGCCACTAGCAAACTGACTGTGAGGATTACAGGCTGCCCAGCTCCAGGTCTGGAGCTCAGCAAGCAGAGCACAGCTGGGTTCCAGACCCCGTTGCTTCTGTCATCGGGGTGCAGTTGTATAGAGTACAGACTGTGCTTTTTTCATATTCTGGAAGTAATGGATGGGTATGCATTGCTGGTGGAGCTGACGACGATAGTTACTGAGCTTTGGAAGTTAGCCTGTCTCTTAGCTTTCTGGTCACTGGGATAAAATACCTGATTCGTGCATCTTAAAGGGGGAGAGTTTTATTTTGGCTCACAGTTTCAGTGGGTTTGTTCCATAGTCAGCTGGCTTCAGGGAAGAAATAGTGTGGTGGACATAATACCATGTGATATGCCTGAGAGACAGATTCCAGGTTCTTGTGTACAGTGAGCAAAGTATTGAAGGGTACACTCAATGGTAAAAGGAAAAGCAGCTACATATATTGAAGATAATAGGAAGGTGTGCTCAGGGCAAGTCCATGCCAACAGAAACAAAAAGGTGGCAAAAACAGAAACGTAGTGCTGGGAAGGCAGGGGAGTAGGAAAAAGATGAAGATGAATCAAGCTTTCACATTTTAAAAGATGTGCACCCTACCCCAGGCACCTCTCACTGAACTCTGGGTAAGTGACAGAAATGACTGACAGGGTGCTGCGTCATGGCAGAGGCTCCTTAGTATGCCTGACTTTCCCAGAGTTCACTCTGTTTTAATCACATACAGGAGATGCAGATCCCAGGTATGAACCTTTAACAGGGTTCGAGTGGGGAAAGGCTAACTGAAGGTCAAGCCGTGAGATTTAACATGCATGTGCTCTGGATTGGAGCTTTAAAGATTTCCTGTGTCTTTGGTATTTTTATTTCTGCTTCTCTTAGGACAGTGGAAGGAGGATTGGCCCTGGATTGTTGCTGAAATTCAGATGGATAGAGGGGGAGTGGTCTCTAAGTCCCAGTTGTGCTACCTGTACTAGATGGGTTGCTCCTGTCCTGGTGGCCAGAAAGCAGAAGGAAGGGAGGAGCTGGGGGCAAGAACACTCCCTTCCAGGTCCTGCCTCCGTGACCTACCTCTAACCAGGCCCCAGCTCCTAACAGCAAATATGCACCCCCCTGATCCAGTCACCTTCCAAACACATGAGACTTCTGGGGCACATGTTAGATCTAGACCACAACAGTCTGAGCAAGTGCTTTGCCTTTGGGTCACTCAGCCAGGCCATTGAGTTGAGGTACAGAGATGGTGGAGAGCTGCAGCCTTTCAGACCTGGCAAGGCCCACAGGAGTCTTGCTCATTCTGGACCTTCGGCATTTCTTCAGAAGCTCTTGCTACCCCTCCACCCTGTGGGATGTGCTTTCCATGATGAAAAGGTTCTAACAGCCAGCTCAGATTTTTAGGGAGTGGTTCAGTCCTCTAGTCCTGGTGATGTCCTCTTAGGCAAGTGGACTGTTGTAAGAAGATGGAGGCCCAGAGGTGTGTCTGTTGAATGGTGTTTTCTCCTGTGATCTTCTGGCACCTGAGGGTTTGGTGAATGAGGCAATTTTGTGCACAGCCCCATATCACAGTTGAGGCTCTTCTGATTTGCAGAGCAGCCCACAGGTACCAGGAAAGGCCTCTCCAGATGTCAAGTAGGGAGATGGCAGCCAGTTAGAAAGATGCATTAAGTGGCCAAGGAGGTGGGTGGGTGAAGCCAGAGCTGGGTGGTGGGCAGTCTGTGGTAAGTGGGCCTCCTCCCTCTAAGGGATGTGTAAGTCCATGACTGTTCTAGCTAGAAAGGCCAAGCTGTCAGTCGGGAGTTGGAAGTGGCTTCACCTTTTCTTTGGAGTGACCTTATCTTTTCCTTCTCATACACAGTGTATCCATCATCACACAACAGTGCCCACTTGTTACACAGGTTTGTGTATGCATGTGTGCATAAACATAAGATGTACTCAACACACTCCTTATAGCCCCACACAAACCTAGACGCTTGGGCCTGGCTAAGCAGTTGCTCACCTATGGGTCCAGCTCAGGGGCTGGCTCTAGTATGCTTGTGCCAGGGCTTCCTGGGCCTTCCCAGAGCTCAGATCTTCAGGCTTCATGCCCATCTCATTCAGCTGTTCTGATCTTGGGTTTTTATTAAATCTGGGCCTAGGGTGACTTGAGCTAGCAAGAAGGCTAAGTGGTTTGAGTTACCATCTCCCTACATATGCTCCTCCAGGGAGGCAGGGCAGACTGGGAGAGATGAGGCTGCTGGGGCTCAACAATGTGGTAACCCCACTGCTGCCTGTGCCACATCTGTGGTCCAGGAAGGGTTTAGTGGCTGATTGCTGTGCTGTGCATTGACCTTTGGTGTCCACCCTGTAGACATCTCCACCCAGCCTTAGCCCTTCCCTGGCACTGATTGGTTTCTTAGCCTCCTTTTCCCAAATGAAGGGGATACATGCCTTCTTTAAAGGGGGAAAGGGAGACAGATGGTATCAACACCTCTACTTGGCATGCTAGGGAGCCAGGAGTTTGGATGAGAAGGTCTGCCCTCAAAGGACCCAGCCTCTTCCAAAAAGGATGAAGAGGAGGAGGGGAAATCTAGTGAGATCCCCATAAGGACTTGGAGGAAGCAGGACCCTGGGTTGAAAGGCTGACCTTGGGTCTGGCTTGTGGCTGATGCCTCTCCATGGTGCTTCTCCCAGATCTCAGTTAAGCCTAATCCTGCTCAGGAGTCTGGAGGGTGGGGGGTGTTTGTCTCATTCTGTTCTCACTGGGACCAGGCTGCCTAGGAAGTCCTTGTGGCAATGGGTACTAGCAGGAAACAAGCTCCCAAAGTTGCAGAAATATGGCTCAAGCCTCCATCCTTCCTCCATGTGGGCTCACAGAGTCCAGGAGCTGTGCTGGGAGGGTTTTAAAGGACTCACAGATACAGCAGGTTCCGGGCTATATCCTGCCATCTCATGGGTAGGCCCTGAGTACCACTCTCTCCCTCTGCAGTGTCTTAGATGATGAGGGCAGCAACCTGAGGCAACAGAAGCTTGACCGGCAGGTGAGTGGGTGAAGGGGCAGTCTGGGCTGGTGTCCCTGAGGGCACAGGGAAAGGGCTGTTCCTCTTCCTGGGGTGATCTTACGTGATGGAGAAGAGAGGCGGGGTCTCTCCTTTACCAGCTCAGTGTTAACCCTGCCGCATTGCACGAGGCTTCGGCCAGGCAGGTGGCTGGTATGAGTGCAGTTGGAGGGCTGGATGTCTGTGCTATGATCCTGGGCTGAGTTTTGCCACCCTTCCCTGGACCTCAAGTCTTGGATTGCCTTGGACCAGGGAGGGCTTTGGACCCCAGTGTCACCTCTGGAGCCCAGGCCAGGGATCAGGGTGATCTCTCCAGCCCCACTCTGGGAGCCCCACCCTCCTGGTGGAGGTGAGGGCCAGCCCTTCTCTAGGTCAGCCCTGTGCCTCTACAGCGGGCCCTGCTGGAGCAGAAGCAGAAGAAAAAACGCCAGGAGTCCCTGATGGTGCAGGCCAATCCCGAAGGGCGGCCCCGGAGCCGGCGGGCCCGGCAGTCAGAGGAGCAGGCCCCTCTGGTGGAGTCCTACCTCAGCAGCAGTGGCAGCACCAGCTACCAAGGTACACCCTGCCTCCCCCTGCTGCCAGCCAGCCTGGGAGACCCCCACAGTGTGGCTCTGCACCCCAGCATGGCTTTGGGGAGCCCCTCAGGGTTTTCCTGCTGACCTGGGCAGGAGAGGGACACGTCCTCTTAGGATTTGTCCAGGCTGAGTGTGTTGCCCAGCCCAGGTGGACAGCAGGCTGGGGTGGGCAGAGTGCTCAGCATCCCAGCTCCTGAGCCAGCTGTGGAAGCCAGAGCCTAAAACTTTGTGAATCTGGGAGTACAAAGGTCCAAGTTTCTGATCTGCAGCTTTTCACAGAGAGCAGGAGGCAACATCTAAGAGTAGAAGAGTCTACTACTCCCCACCAGCACTGTCTCCTGAGAGGAATCCATCTCAACATCCTACCCCCCACCAGCTGGGGTCTCCTGGGACACCTGTCTGTTCTCTTCTTCCTTGAGCCCTCTGTACCTTCCATATGCCCGTCTTCTGACCCATAGATTCCAGTCCCTGACTCAGGACTCCTTCAGAGCTGTAGTGGCCCAGTCTACCACTGCTGTCCTAATACACTCAATTCTTAGCGGAACCTACCTTCACCACCACTTCTCCTGGGGAGGGGTTGGCCCTTTCATATGCCTGCACTGGAGAGTCCCTCCTGCGTAGGTTAGACAGGTCAGACAGAAGATTGGTCTCTAAGCTGGAGAGATTCAGTCACCACTGCCCCCTGCTGGGCTGGTGCTGATCATGCAGGCGGCTACTCCCTGAAGTGCAGTAGTAACGTTGAGAAGGTTGCTGGCACCTGTTTTTTGCAGATAGGAAGCAACTACGGTGCTCCCTTTCCTCTGTGGCTTCTCTCCGACCTGGAGCCTCCAGCCACGTTGAACTGCTAGCTTTGCCCCCGGCCTTGCAGTGTCTCACATTCTTCTTTATGTCCTTCTGATCAGCCCTAGTGTACCCGAACCTTGAACTGTACCTGGGAGGGCAACAATCTGGTCTCCTTCACCTCCTGCCTAGATTGTGGCTGGTGTGCTGTGTGAGCATGGTCCCCACTGTGGGCACACAGACTCCCTGAGGAAGCCCACCTCATTTCTGCTAATAAAGCTATCATTGCGCATTTTCCAGGGCTAGGTGCTTAGCCTGTATTCTCCCTGCTTTCTCACAGTGGCTCATTAGCCCCATGTGGTTGATAAGGCATGGGCTCAGAGGGGTGCAGCAGCCTGCCTATGGTACCTTGGTAGTGAGCAGAAGGCCTAGACTAGATGCTGGCCTGATCAGATCCCAAATGGTCTTTCCACTGTATTATGCTGCCTCCCTGCTAAGAGCTTCTTTGTGCTAATTCTTCCTTGTGTACATCAGGTTAGCACTCGGGCCCTTACCTCATATGTTTGTAATCCACTTGAGAGACCTTTTGGGAAGAGGACAGGGACCTCAGGCCAGCTGCTCTAGCAGCCTCTTCTCCACTCCTCTGGGGGAGCCATCCCAAGGATGGCTGGCCATGGCACATTGAGGGAAGGCAGCCATTGTCCTGGGGTGGTGGAGCCCAGGACAATGGTATGTATGGGCATCACAGCCCCAGCTCTGCCAACCGTGGCACCTGAGCCTTTGAGGGTGCATATGGGATGAGAGCCTGACAGGTTACAGCTGGTAGGTTCCACAGGGACCGAAGCCCTGCCACTTAGTGCCCGGGGCCTCCGCCTTGAGGAGTCACTGATATGGAGGAGCTTGGCAGGGGTTTCTTGAGCTCTGACTGTGGGGCTGGTGGGGCTGAGCCTGTAGAAGGCTGTGCTGAGAGAGAGAGCACCTAAAGGTGTGTGCTGCTGCAGCAGAAGAGTTTCTGGTCTTGCCACTCAGGTTACTTGTTCACTTATGACTGGGTGCAAGTCATTTACCCTCTCTGGATCTGTTTCTTCACTATAAAACGGGGAAAAAGCTGTCTTAGAGCTTTGAAAATTGAAGGAACTGTAAACTCAGCTGATTGCTATTCCCTGCTGAGAGTCCAGAGCAAGGCAGCCTCCAGGGTCCTTCCCCGAAAGGGACATTTGACATTTGTGAGGTGCATGCTGCTTCTCTGGGGACCCAATCTTTGTCTGTCTCCCAGTAATGGACAAAACCCTGGGGAAGCTGCTCAACCCAATGCTGACCTGGGAACACATGTTTCTGAGACTTCCCCTTCCCCTCGGTGGCCTTAGCTGCCTCCTGCTCTGCCCTCTGCTGGCTCCTGGTGTTAAATACATGGGGCTATTCCAAGAGGAAGATGAGAACTGATGCTTCACCCAGGAAAGTTTTTGACCTGCCGCTGTGCACATTCATGGTACACATTCATCCATTTCCTATAATTTATCGAGGACCTACTTTGTGTGTGTCAGGCTCTGGATAAGGAGCTGTGGGTCCCCAGTGAGCACAGACAGGTGTGGTCTCTGCTTTCCTGGACCTTATGGTCTCCAGGTGGGGAGGCTGTTACAGATGGTCACAGCTGGAAAGAAGCCAGGCTTTGTGAGGGGAAGACAGGGCACCTGTGTGACCAGAGCCAGGGTGGCTTCCTTGACCTGGAACCTGCAGGATGAATGAGAGTTACACATACAGGGAATGGCAGTATATGCAGTGGGAATAGCCAGAACAAGGCCCCTGTGGCAAGGGCGTACATACATGCCAGGTCTGAAAGAGCTGGTGTGCTTGGAACTCTTAGTGCCAGGGCAGTGGTGTGGTTAGTTAGGTCAAGGGGAAGGGAGATGGAGAAGCCAAACATGCAGAAGAGTATTGGTCTTCATCTTAAGAGCAATCAGAAACCCTTCAAGGATTGTGAGCAGATCGGGGTCCTGCTGTGTGGCAGATGTGGAGCCCACCAGCTGTAACCTTTCTGTGACCTTCCTGTTGGTGTGTGTGTGGCTCTGTTTATCCTGGAGATCTTCCAGGTGCTCCCTGAGGGCCATGCAGGCTCCCTGTGCATGCTCTGGCTGTGGTCTCTTCAAAGAAATGCAGCCTTTGCGTCCTCCATTCCCAATGTGACCCACATTCTCACGGACATGCCCTGCCCCTGACTCAGAACAGTTCCCTAGTCCAGAACTTTGGTTACTGCTTGTTGGCTGACCACAGCTTTGGCTTGGTGTTGACCTCATCACATGGGGCTGGGGCACCACTTTCCAGCAGGCCCTGCTCTAGACCTTTGCCCAGGATGGACAGGGAGCGAAGGAGGCAGCACAGGGGCATGTGTTGGGGAGAGGGGTGGGCGGGAAGGGCTGTGCTGGGAACTGTTGCGGGGAGGGGTCTGCTCTCACCCAATGCCCATTTTCCTCTGTCGTGGGTTCTCTCCCGAGCAGTTCAAGAGGCCGACTCACTCGCCAGTGTGCAGCTGGGAGCTGCCCGCCCAACAACACCAACCTCAGCCAAGAGAACCAAGGCAGCAGCTTCAGCAGGGGGCCAGGGTGGGGCCTCTAGGAAGGAGAAGAAGGGAAGGCACAAAGGTTAGCTTGCCTTCTCCACAGCGCCCCTCCCCACCCAGTAGGCCTCATCCCCACAGTGGGGTCGGGGCAGGCATATCTCCCTAACTGTACTAACTGGGGTTTGGGGTCCCTGCCCAGCCAGCCTGCAGGCCTTGTCTGACTCATGGGGTGCCTGGGCTGGCCTGTGAGTATGGACCACCCTTGCCTCCTTCCCTGCTTTGGCCTGAGCTCCCTCTGTTCTGGCCTCTGGGCCAGGACCCTGCCTGTGATAGGGGCTCACTGCTTCCTGGCAGCCTGTCCTGCGTGTGCAGTGTCCATGCTTCCTCCACACGTGCGCTTCTCTAGACTCCTGCTACTGTAGGCCCAGTCCCAGCCTCTGGGCCACAGACCAGTCCCTTCCTTCTACTCCTGCCTAGAGCAAAGATCCCTAGGGATCAAGGACCGTGATGGTGGCCCCAACCCTGAGTCTTGTCTCCTGGCTAAATATCCCTTGTTCATGGGCCATGATTTCCAGGCCACTGTGTCATAGTTGGACAGTGCTGTGTCGATGTCCATGGGCTTCTGGTGCTGGCTGTAGCACTCTGGGACTGGCTTAGCTAGGCAGAGTAGCTGCCACCTATGTGGGCCAGACCTTGCTTCTGCCAGTAGAACTGGGGCAACCAGGGCAAGGAGTTTGCTGTGGGATGGAAATCCATAGTGTTTCTTCACGCCCCCCCCCATGTTTTGGGGTTTTTTTTGGTTTTTTTCGGTACCGGAGATCGAACTCAGGACCTTGTGCTTGCAAGGCAGGCACTGGAACCACTGAGCTAAATCCCTGGCCCTTCCCCCCATGTTTTTAATGATGTGCATGTATCGTGTGTGTGTGTGTGTGTGTGTGTGTGTGTGTGTGTGAGAGAGAGAGAAAGAGAGAGAGAGAGAGAGGAAACACACCAGCACTAATAAGTTGTAGCTGGCCATGTTCATGAATGATTGTTGACCTCAACTATGGTCTGATAGATCCTTGTTCTCTATCTTGTTTTCTCCACTGTGCATTTGGTTTTGTAGATGACTGCTGTCTGTCTTAAGATGCAGGGTACTTCATATTTTGGGGAAGAGCAGAAGAGTTGAAGCCTGTGTCCCTTCACAGCTTACCAGTCGTTAACAGGCTGACAGCAGTCATTAGTTTTTAAAAAATCAGTTGTGTAAATAAAGTTTTGCAGAGGGTCTCTTTCCTCACTCATCCCTCACCCTCCTCATGGACGTCTGAGAACCCAGACCCTCCTCTCCCTCCTGGATGTGACTCAGGAGTGTCTGGCCTGCAGGCACCGGCGGGCCAGCAGCACCGGCAGAAGACAAGTCTGAGGCCCAAGGCCCAGTGCAGATCCTGACTGTGGGCCAGTCGGACCACGACACAGGAGAGACAGCAGCCAGTGGGGGCGCACGGCCCAGCGGGCAGGACCTCCGTGCCACGATGCAGAGGAAGGGTGAGCCCCATGGGGGCCCAGCTGCGACCAAAGCTCAGTCCCAGGTCCTTAGGCAGACCCTTCTCTGAGAGCATGGCCTCTTTCTGTGCCTGGTCCACATCCTCCCTGGCCACGGGGGAGGGCACACTTAGGGACAGGTGAGAAGCTGTGGGACAGAGACCTAGAGAAGGCCAAGTTAGGGGAAAGAAATATGAACTGGGATGATCAGCCCATACCCAGCTCTGTCTCTTCCCAAGAGGCCCAGATTTGGGGGCAAATTTCCTTTCCCTTTGGCTTCTTAGAAAAAGCTCCTTTTGAAAGTTCCTCATTTGTCTGAGGAGCCGTGGGGAGCAGAGCCAGGATGTCCTTCCTAGAAACCTGCTACCAGGTTCCTCAGCATGGGCCCTGCCCTAGGGAGCCCCTGGTGCATGGTGGTGGAGGGAGAAGCCTGGCAGTGCCACGCACTGAGAATCTATTCCAGGGCAGCTTCCTGGAGAAAACTGTTGAGACAACTTGGGAATGGGTGGCATTGTAGTCAGAGGAGGCAGTGGAGGACAGCCGAGATGGAGGCTCAGGGAAGGTGGGGAAAAGATGAGGAGTCACTGGGTCCTGCACACAGCTGGGTGCGAAGCTGAGGTCCTTTGCCTGGTGGAGTTCATGGCCTGTGCCAGGCAAGGCCTCTAGTAGGCTCGGGGTCAGAAGCTCAGTGCAGGCCTGTATGTGCAGAGACAGGCACCATAACTGCTAGAGAGGAAAGGTGCCGATACAGGGACTGAGCTGAAACCGGGTGGGGGATGTACTCTGCGGATTGTGACCGGCCCCAGCTCATGTGTGCATGGAGAGAACATGTTCCTTGTGTCTTTCTGGATGCGTGGAAGTGTGTGTGCGAACATGAATGTGTGTACCTGTGGCTGTGTGTATAGAAGTGTGTCAGGTGCAAGTGAATTAGTGTCAGCATGTTTTTCTGCATGTGACCACGTATTTCGGTAGGGGGTGGAGATCCTCCTCACCCTGTCCGTCTGCGTCTGTTCACTCCAGGAATCTCCAGCAGCATGAGCTTTGACGAGGAAGAGGAGGATGAGGATGAGAACAGCTCTAGCTCCTCCCAGCTAAACAGCAACACCCGCCCCAGCTCCGCCACTAGCAGGAAGTCCATCAGGGTGAGTGAGGAGCTTTAATCCACAGCGGGAGGTTGGATGGCAGCTTTCGGAGGATTGCCTACCCATCCAGGGGAGGTAATAACTGATGGTGTGAAGACATCATCAGTGGGATCAGGTGCCTGCCAGGAGCTTCTCTGTTAGGCCCTTTTACCCTGGCTCCTAATCTCTTCAGCCAGGTCAGGGGGCTGGGGTATTGCGGGGCAGGGGCCGGTGTTGAGCAGGATGACACCTGAGAACCTGCCCATCTTCCCATCACTACCCCAGGGACTACCAAGGAGAGGGAAGGGCTGGGGGGATAGCACCTGAGCCCAGAGCAGTATGGACCTGCCCTATCCCCTACAGCAGGAGGCAGTGCTGGCCCTTAAGGTCCCTGGGCCTCAGGCTCCCACTCGCCCTCCTGGCAGGAGGCAGCCTCAGCGCCCAGCCCAACAGCCCCAGAGCCGAAGGTGGGTGTTGAGGTCCAGGACCTTGAGGAATTTGCACTCCGGCCGGCCCCCCAGGGCATTACCATCAAATGCCGAATCACCCGGGACAAGAAGGGGATGGACCGGGGCATGTACCCCACCTACTTCCTGCACCTGGACCGTGAGGACGGGAAGAAGGTGAGGCTGCTTTCTGTGTGCATTTTCACCTGGGCAGGCTGAAGGGCCTGGGGCAGTGGGGGGCGAACCTATGGCACACGTGCTGTAGCAGGCTGTTTGTTACCATTGAAAGCTCTAAAAGGTTTGCCGCCACTGGCCTAGGGACTAGAATGTGACTGGAAGCCTCAGATCCAACACTGACCCCTCAGTTCCTGAGAGAGAAACAAAAGCCCATGCCCTGCTCATTGCAGTCTTGTGTGTTTGCCGGCATATGTATGCATGTGCACATACATGCGTGTGGGAGCTGAAGCAAGGGAGTCATTCGTGTGAGTGGGACCTGTGATTGTGATCATGTGTGGGCCAGACTGGGCTTGGAACATGGCCTTGCTCCACCCCCTCCCCCCAAGGTGTTCCTCCTGGCCGGAAGGAAGAGAAAGAAGAGTAAAACGTCCAATTACCTCATCTCTGTGGACCCAACGGACCTGTCTCGAGGAGCAGACAGTTACATCGGGAAACTGCGGTACCAGCACTCCCCCAAGAAGGCCGGATGGCAGGGGAGGGCAGGCCAGGATCTCTGTAGAAGCTATCGCCTGTCCCTGAAGATCTAGGCCAGGCTTGGATCTTCTACCAGGATCCTGTGTCAGATTCAACCACAGGCCCGACCTGTGCCCAGACTTGGACTAAGCTGCTCCCAAGCAAGAGTGACTGTACAAACCCAGGGTGTCATTGGTGGTGCAGGCCACTACAGCAGGGCTGCTCAGGCTGCATGGGCCAGGGCTGAGAATAAGCCCTGGAAGGAAGGGAATCTCGGCTACCCAAGGAGATAGAGGTGTGGGGAGGCTCTTAGCAAGGCCTCACAGGGGAGGTAGTTTGCTGAGGTGCACAGTGCCAGATGTGGTATAATGAATGAAGATGAAGTGAGCAGCTCAAGCTGGATAAGGGGTTGGGTGGGGCAGTCACCCATCCACTCCCCAAGGTGGCCCAGTCCTTACCTTCCTAGATGCTTGCTCAGCTCCCAGAGGGCAGACCTTTGTCCCCCCAGGGAATCCTGTGGAATCCTGACTTACCCCCCAATTTTCCATCATTGAAATGAGAGCCCCTTAGAGTCAACTCAGCCCTCTGCCTATGAAGTACCTTCAAAGATGTGGATTGCAGTGAGCATTGTGCCCCTAGGTTTGCCGCTGGTCTAGTCCAGAATGCTTTGCAGACTCCTCATAGACTGTGAGCCGTTCTTGCCGTGGGGCAGAAGGCACAGGACCCTATGCTTATTGTTCCTTTTCTTCAGGTCCAATCTGATGGGCACCAAGTTCACCGTTTATGACAATGGAGTCAACCCTCAGAAGGCGTCATCCTCTACTTTGGAAAGTGGGACCTTGCGCCAGGAGCTGGCAGCTGTGTGCTATGTAAGCCCAGCGTTCCTGGGCCTCTGGTCTCCAAGTAGACAAGACCCAGGACTTGCCGCCTGGTGTGCCAGCCTGCGTATCTTGATGGGGAGTCTAGGTTGGGTAGAGGGAGCTGCCCTCTTCAAAGTGACCTCTGCCTGGGACAGAGGCCCTGGCCCTTCCCACCCTCTTCTAGGCTCAGCCTACGTCAGGCCTTCTGTCTGGTGGGTTCTGGGAATCATTCCTGGCTGTGACAGACCTGCCTGGGAGTCTCCTGGACAGAAGGGTAGGGCCCTGGATTCTTGTCTGTCTCCTCAGATCGCCCCTCTGGAATGCCAGGTCCTGCATGCCCCTTTACAGAGTTGGCTCATGAAATTAACCTTTTCTGTATAGGCGGGAAATTGCAGTTCAGTGGTTGGGTCATCGCTAATATCACAGCCACCAAACTGGAATGTAAATACAGGGGATTTCCATCTCTCTGACCTGTTAATCTTTTAAAATGAGGGATGAGCATCCCATCGACCTGGACTTGGGCACTTGGAGGCTGTTGGGACTTCACAGCTATTTTGCATGATCCCATGGTGCCACCTGCTGGTCAGTTTTGGAGAGGCAGCCTGAGTCTTTTCTTAAATATTTACCAAGCATACCTATATTCCACAGTGTTTGAGGCACTGAGGATAAAGTAGTGAACAGATGTTTATACCCTGAAGGGACTTTAAACCCTGGTAGAAAAGGCAAGCCGTATAACAAATGTGCAAGTGAAATATGTTTCTGATCCATCCTAAGAAGAAAAAATTTAAAAGTACAGTAATCCCCCAGTGCATGAATGCTTCTGTTCGCAAACAAAGTATTTGGCAAAATTTTGCTTCTGTTGGCAAACTCCATGTTGGGTGACAAACATGACCATGGCCATCTTCCCCACCCAAACACAAATGCAGCCATCTTCCCCTGCATCATAAAACAAATTAAGCTTTTAAAGCAAGGTACCACTGTATATGTGCCATTTTAGGAAGGATGGCAGGGAGGTAACTCTTGAATAAAGCCTGCCATGTAGATGTCTGTGGGACACAGCCAGGGCTAAAGTCATAGATACTCAGCATGGAGGAGTAATGGCAAGGAGAGTAAGGAACTGGGAAATCGGGGCCAGATCATGTAACAAGAAACAGAAAAGAGTAAGAACTTCAGCTGGTGGCCCCCTTGCTACTGAATTGAAAGCATGAAGCAAAGGGCAAGCTGGGGCTGGGGGACAGACAGACACAGAAACAAGGATTCCAGTTAATGGCTGTGACCGTGATCTCGGTGAGAGATGGTGGCAAACAGTGAAAGAATTCTAGGTGTAGTATGAAGGCAGAACAACAGAAATTGTTGATGGGTTAGAAGTGGAGTATGAGAAAGATAGGAGTCAAGTATGACTCCAAATAGTTTGAGCAAAGAGGAGAATTGTTCCCATTAACTGAAGCAAGTGAGACTGTAAGAAGAGCTAGTTTCGACAGAGTAGAGATCTGGGAGTTCAGTTCTGGACCTGGTAAGCTTAATGCCTATTAGGGTTTTAAGTGGAGATGGTACAAATGAACTCTTCATCTTTATTTCCTTTCCCCAGGCCCTCTAGAAGGTAAGTACTATCTTTGAGTGGCCAATGCTGAGTTCTGTTTCCTAGGAGACAAACGTCTTAGGCTTCAAGGGGCCTCGGAAGATGAGTGTGATTGTCCCTGGCATGAACATGGTTCATGAGAGAGTCTCTATCCGTCCCCGAAACGTGAGTCTGTACCCCTTTCCCATCATCTCCCATCTCTCTGTGAACTTCCAAGGGCAGAACTCCAGCGTGTGTATATGTCTAGGCCATATATTTTGAGAAGCCCTGGAGGTCAGAGAAGCCCCATTCCTGGGAAAGATCCCTCTTTGGGGTGGTCATGATGCCAAGCTTAGGCCTGGCTCAGGCGAAGCTGCCCTCCCAGGAACATGAGACACTGCTAGCCCGATGGCAGAATAAGAACACAGAGAGTATCATCGAGCTGCAAAACAAGACCCCCGTCTGGAATGACGACACACAGTCCTACGTACTCAACTTCCACGGGCGCGTCACACAGGCCTCTGTGAAGAACTTCCAGATCATCCATGGCAATGACCGTGAGTGTTTCTGCCCCTCCTCATACTGTCATTGTGACACCTCAGGCCTTAGTTTAGGGTTGAACTCACCTAATGTGGTCCATACCAGCCAGAGTTTAAGGATGTGGCCTGTGTGCCTTAATGTGCATGCTGCTGAAGCGAGCACTGTGGCCTGTATGGGTTAGATTAGGTGTGAAAGTTTCTAACCATAATGACTGGGAGGCACTTGAAGAGCTCCTTTGGAGCCCTGGTCCTAGATTCTGTGTATTCAGCAGAGTCTTGGGCATGGGAATACCCTTTAAATGGACTTTTTTCTCCTCTGTCTCCTGGTGTTTGTATGCATCTCCTTACTATCTGCTGCCTCTCTCCTGTCACTTTTCCCAATGGGCTTTTGCTTTACTTCCTTTGGGATTTCCACTTCTTACTTTTTCTTTCTTGTGGTTTGGGTGTCTGTTTGTCCTTCCTGTCTCTACTACTCCTGCCCTTTTTTGTTTCTCTCTGTGTGTCCATGCTTGTGCCTGGCCCCAGCGGACTACATCGTCATGCAGTTTGGCCGGGTAGCGGAGGATGTGTTCACCATGGATTACAACTACCCGCTGTGTGCACTGCAGGCCTTTGCCATTGCACTGTCCAGCTTCGACAGCAAGCTGGCCTGCGAATAGAGGCCCCTCACACCCACTGGGGTTGGCCAGCCTGGAGTGGAGCTTGCCTGCCTGCCTGCCTGCCTGCGGAGACAGCCCTGCCTACCTTCTGTTCATAGGCCTTCAGCGGGCTCCCTGGCCTAGCCAGCCAGGAAGTGACTCCTCTGCCTCTGATGCTGAGGCAAGGGACTAGTGGGCAGGTGCAAAGGGACAAGAATAATTCCTTCTGTGCCCCAAGATCAACACCCCCGCCCCACTCTTGGATTAGTACCCTGCCGCAGTCATGTTTGCCAAGCTGGGTGACCTCCTCACCTGGGAAGGCCCGATGGGGTATAGAGGGAGAGGACGCACAAGCAGGGCTGCCATAGCCCAGCCATTCACTCATCCCAGGAGTCAGAAGACAATGGATGCCCCAACGGGTTGGGCACAGTGATACAGTGAGAGTAGAGAGAATATGAATGTATATGAATATGAATATATGAATACAGGGCACACCAACTTTATGTAGCAAAGGGCTTGGTGGCCTAGCCTGACCCTTCAAACTGGAGAAAGCCCTGCAACTTCAGAAGGCCTCCCTCAGGCCTGAGGGAACTGGGGGGCGGGGCGGGGGGGAACAACAGATGAGTGGCAGGACTTTGCTGGGATTGCAGGGGCCTGGCTAACTGTGGCTGAGAGTTTAGCTGACTTGTTTCTCCAAGTGTGCTGTGTCTCAGGGGTGCTGGGAACCTAGCTCTCATGGCCAAATGTCTTAGGATGAGGCCTGCAGGAGGTGCACCAGACTCCCCGGAGCAGGGCTGTCCTAGAGCCTTGCCTACTGGCCCAGGAGCTCTCCGCTCAGAAGCCCAGCACAACCCCTGGTAACAAATGAGATCGAGGTCACTAGCCCTTCCTGGCAGTGTACCATTTGTGAGCCATGGCATGCTCAAGGAAGTCTCCTTTTGGGAGAGACCCAGCCTTGCGTGCTCTTTTAGCTCCCACTGCTGTCAGTCAAAGCATGGTTGGAGAGGGCTACTTTCTGTGGTGGTTCTTTGGAGGGCATGGAACAGGGTGAGGACAGCATAGAATATTTTAGAGCTACAAGAGATCAGAGGTGGTAGAACCCTTAGGGATCAACTTGTCAATTTCAGGGAATAGGACTTGCCTTGGGTTACCCAGTTTATGGCAGAGTTCAGAACCTCAAGTTCCCTTGATTTTTTTGCTCCCCTATCCCCCTAAGAAAGTAGTATCTCCTGCTCTCTGGCCTTCTGGGCCCATTTTGCATGCAATTTACCCTGACTTCAGAGACTTAAAAATATCACAGTTGATGTAGAAGATTGAAACAATTTCAGTAGGGAATTGGGCAGTTCCATGCTGGAAGTAGTGTGTCTTTTTGTACATCAGTCTGATCAGGCTTGGCCTGTGCCTGGCCCCTCCATGAGGGCTGCACACGGGAGCAGACCTCAGCAAGGCCGCAGCACATTTCTGTCTAGGTGACAGGCAGCCCAACTGTTTCAGGGATGGCCTGATCGCTCCCTCCACTGCCACTGCTCCTTCTACTTGGATGGCACCATCCGCCTTGCAGGTGTGGGAACTCAAAGCTCTTGCTCGTCTGTCATTTACCCTGTTAGAAGCTGTTAGAGGCTCCTTAGCCAGGTGGAGGTCAGAAATCTATGGGAATTAAATAGCGGTTGGACTTTGCTTTAGATAGTAAGCTTGAAAAGGCTAAGTAGAAATTTTTTAAAAACTGAAACTCATACTTTAAACACGTTAGTGAGGCCCTATAGGTGAACAAGGTGTTTTGACTTAAGTGAAAGCAGTATGCTCTCATTTCTTTGTAGTCTAGATTTTCCTATGTTGGGTGCTTAAAGCAAGACACATCTGCTCTAGCAAGATCTGCCCTGAGCCATACATCTCTGAGACAGGCCCCTCCAGTAAGCCAGCCTTTGTTAACGTGGTCTAGGACTTTCTATGCCGGGAATGGCTGGTGTTTTTCTTGATGAAAGACTGTGGTGCCATCCTCCTTGCTGTAGTCCTTTGGCCCTTCCTTCCCTGACTCTAAGAAGAGGAGACCTGCTGACATGAGAGATGATGGAAACATGATCTCTAAAGTCTGGTCAGCTGTTTCCTGGGTCTGTGATTTTAAGGTAGAACAAGCTGAGTCTGGATTCTAGTGAGAGAAGTTCCTAGTGGCAGAGTAGAAAAATCAGAAGCACAATGGAAAACCTCTTGGGCTCTGCAAGAGGGGGATGACTGGCTGTTATGACAGGGTCAGAAAACGGGCTGAGCTGTCTAGCCTGGGTTCGGAGAAGGGTACCCTCAGCACAAAACCCTCTTTTGGACATTGAGTGACAAGCAAGACCAGTTGAATCACCTGCTTGCGACCAGGTCACAAGGTCAGCTCTTTAGACTCCACTCCTGGTGATGCTGCTGCTTTTCCTTGACCACTGCCTTTCTGGCCACAGGTCTATGGACTCACAAAGCTGCCAGGGCCCGGAAACCACCTGGGTTCAGCCTCTTCTACAGTAAGAGTTTTTGCTCTTCACATCTCCTCCCCAGATAGTCCTTGATTGTGCAGTAAATTAATGATGGGACAATCTTTAAGGATGCTGGGCAGCTGGGACCTTAGGCAGCTCCCCTGCAACTGCTCCTGGCTCTATGCCCCCAAACTGTATACACTCTGCCCCCAAGTTCCCCTGCAGAGTGAAGTTTGCATCCCTAACTCCTTTCCAAGTCTAGCTTTTCTTTCCTGCTAGCTCCAAGGTGCTCTGTGTCCGTGTGTGTGTATGTGTGTGTCCATGTGTTTCTGGGGAAAAGGGCAACCTGCAAATGATCAATTGAGGTTTCTTATGACCCTATTTCTGAGGATGAGTAAGAAAGGAATAAGGAGGTAGTTATGATCACCTGTGGATTTGGTCCCTTCCTTTCCGGCTCTGTGAACAGGAGGATACTTGGACAGTTAGCAGCTCTTTCTCCCAAGGTTCTGAGTGAGGGGAAACCATCTAAGAAACATGTTCTTTCAGGTCCCACTTGGCATCACCTGAAGAAACTGGTGTGTCATACGCATACCTTTAGATGAATCTGAATATATTCTAGTGATGGTGCCTTAAAAATCACAACACTAGTTCAGGGGAGGCCTATAAAGCCCAGACCCATGGCGAGGACATGTGTTGGGAGCCAGGGAATATGTTAAAGACAGGATAGGGAAAAACTCTTAGAGCCCACCTTCTTCAGTGACAAGTAGAGTTTTAAGATGTATAAGCAGTTTTTCTTTCTGGAAATAGGACATTTGCCTCTAAATAAACTGACCATTTATTTAGAAGTAGTCCTAAACTTAACTAGCAATAGAGGTGACTGCAGAGGAAAAGATACATGCTTTGCTCAGCTGGGGCCCACAGTGGGGAAATACTGGGATAGTCACGGCCACGGCTCTGTTGTGCAAGCACAAACCTTATTTCTTAGATGGATGTCCTAGTGTTCCTTACTAAGGTAATCCTGGAATCTCCTTTTCCATAACTCCCTGGCCCAACAGCAACATTCTTATGAGACCTCAGGATTACAGGTGGCCATCAGAGCTGAACAAATGTGTTTCCTTGTGGTGCCTAGTCCTGTAACTTGCGCCAGACTGCTCTGCACCCTGGCTTGTAAGCCTGTTGCAGTCCCCAGGAACAGGCCAAGGAATAGCCTCTTGTTTAAACATATGGTCCCCTGTCCTTTGTACCTCCAGTTTGCAGTTTTCTGTCATCTGAAGATATGCGGGAGAGGGGCAGAATCATTGGGACAAACTTTGTTTTTTGCATTTTCCAACCAGGTGGAGAGGCAAGTTGTCTTACAGAAAGTACTGCACTTAGTAGCTATGTGATTTTGACCACATCTAGGTCTGTTTTAACTGCAAAATGGCGATGTTGGACTGTCAAAGCTTGCTGTAGGAATCAGGGTGAATGAAAGTTAATTCTTGCTTTCATCACTACATTTTCAAGCTCATCACTGTGCCTTCTTTCTTAGGAGACACTCCACCCCTCTCCTCTGTTCTCCTGTGCCTCCCTCCCCCTGTCAAGGTCCAGGCAGAGCTGGAAATGAGGCTGAGGTCTAGAGTTTCCTACAGAACAATTCAGAATGGCTTAGAAGGGGGAGCCCAACTCTGGCCTCTTCATTCCTGCATTTGGGTGACAGAGGGGACTTGGTCAGGATGGGTAACCTTTTTCTTGCTGAGAACGCATATTTAGCCAGTTTTCATAATGCCTAGAATGTGTATGTCTATTTGCACAAGATTGTCTTTTCCAATTTTGGAGTGGTCAGACATATTATTTTTGTTCAAAATTATCTGGAGTTTTAGACAAACTTGCAAAACTGTGCTTTTATTAAGTGACTTTTTTGAATAAACTTTTTGGTATTCTGAAGCAAATGTATGTATTTATTTATCAGTATGTGCAATGACAAACTTGGTATTTTCCCATCTTGACATTATATATGTTGTAGAATTTAGTGTTTGTCTAAGTACAGACATGTATCAATAAATTAAACTTGAATTGTTTCAACACTACTGTGTCCTTTTTTTCCCTCCATGAAAGAAAAAACCATGCCTCTTTCCTAAAACACTTTTCTACTCTGTTCATCCCTAGGACCCTCAAATGGTTAGGTGGACAGTAATAACGGAGAGATCAAAGCTTGTTTAAAACTGGTGAATGCGTCAACACTGCTTCCCTTTGGCTGTGTCTTTCAAGTTTAAGGACCATCAGAGCCACACCCAGAGGCTGCTAACAGCCGAGAAAATGGTGGGATTTAAAGATACCTGAGCTGTCCTCTTTAGGGTCAGCTGTCCCAACTGATGGATCTTGCTGGTGGTTCTCATGTATCCTCAGTGGGCTTAGCCCTAAAGAACAGAACAGGGCTTTGGGCTGGAAAAATCTCAACCAACAAATATAACATGGACCGAGCCACTTGACTCCTTAAGCCTTGCTCAGAGCTTCATCCATGGAAATAAGACTTGCACATGCATGGGAATCTTTTTCAGCCTGTAGCAGATTTGAAGCCAAGTAAAAAGGAAGCTGCAGTTCTTGCTGGAACCAAGACATGAAAAAGCTAATAGTATGATCCTGAGCAAGGAGAGGTCACAACTAAAGTCCCCTATGACTACAGAAAGGACCTGGCCATATCTGGCAGTCAGGGTAGCCTTAGAAGATGTCAAGTGCAATAGCCAAGCAGCACAGGACTGGAGGACACAGTGATGATGCTGATGCTGCCGCTGAGCACCTACCATATGCTTCATCCAGGGATATACATTTTATAAAAGGCAGATCATTTAATCCTATGGTCCTATAAGATGAGTTTATTCCTAATTCACAAGTGAGAAAACTGGTGCTCAGAGAAGTTAAGGAATGATCTAAAAGGAGACATTGATGTTCTTTGTATAAGAAAATGGTGAGCGGTAAGTACATTTTAGAAAGGTTTAATAGTCAAGGCGAAGTCACAGGTGTGTCCATGTTTTTCTCAGTATTGTTGAATAAGTGACATACTGAATTCTTTGGAATACAAATAGTCCAAGTAGAAGGGGAATTTAAGAGTAGAGTAATAAGTGGGTTTCTTTATTCCTCCATAGTTTTTGTTTCGCTGTGGCACTGGCGATGAAACTGAGGGCCTTGTGCATGCAAGCAGCTGAGCTATGTCCTCAGCTTTTTTATTTAAATCTTGAGACAGGGTTTCGCTATGGTGCCCAGACTGGCTTCATACTTGAAATCCTCCTGCCTCAGTCTCCCTAGTAGCCGGGATTACAGGTGTGCACTACCACACCTGGCCAGATTCAAGAATTGGATATGACCAAGGGTATTTCCTACCTGAACTATGGTCTATCTTCTGTGGCCCCAATGGGAAAGAGTACAAGCAGGATATTCTAAAAAGGAAGGAATTCTTTTTAGTCATCAGATTGAAGAAAAATCTTAAATGGCCACAGACCGTATGTCCAGATTAGTCCTTGTTTATAGCTACTATCTTAGCATAATTACTATTAAAGCTTTTTTCCAAAGTGCCCTAGTTTGGACCATATGTTAGGTGATCATCTAAGCCACAGGAGGTGCAAGGAATGTGGTTCTCACAGGCCGTATTTCTAGAGGTTAATACTCTTCACTTCTCAGTCTACCTCCCTGGCTCCAGCTTTGGAGCTTTTAAGATCTTTCTTTGTGCTCCTGTTGTGACCTGGCTGATCACCCACCTGCTCTATCAAGCATGGTCCCAGATGATGCAGCTGCTCCTTAGGCCAGCCATCTGCCCCAGGGTTGTAACCTGTGTATCCTGGCGTAGTTCGAAGAGAGGTCACTAGGCCTAGGGGACTCATTAAGCTGATAGCCCCTACGTTTTAAGAAATGAAGACCAGAGCATCAAAACCCAGACCTATGATTCTGGTCACCCTGGGTTGCATTTACTCTTAAAACTGTCATTCCTGAAGGGTAAAATAATTCTGGAAAATTAAAAAAGGACTGTCTAAACCCTAAATGAAAGGTACACTAAAATTTCTGAACTATAAATGCATAAGTACATTCTTGATATACAAACCAACCAAGATTTAGGGCAGCAAGAGCCATCCCCATCATAAGGGATGTAGTATTTCTAGCAGGAACTACGTAAAGAATTTATATGTTCATCAGACCACCTGAAGATACATATTTTCACACTTCACTACTTTTGTCAACATTTTTCTTTCTGCCAAAAAAGTCCTTTCTCTTTGCCAATTTCAAGAAATTCTTGGCTCGCCACAAGGTCCTCTTCCTCTGCCAAGTTTCTTGGAAATACTTTTGCAAAAACTTTCTTCCCTTTATGCTCCTGTAGTTTTCAATCCATACCTCAGTCACAGCATAAACCATTATATAATAAAACAGTTAACCATTATGTGAGTTAGAAGCAATGCTGTTAAGATCCACTGATTATGTCATTGAATGCTGACAACCCTGAGTCCTGGACTTTATTATCCTTACCTTATAGATGAGGAAACCAAGGTTCAGACTGCCTAAAGAGATGACACAACAGCTAGAGTATGCTGAAGGATCATGATCCATTTTTCTCTGCATGCAGAATTCATAATCTTGAGTCTTCATAGTTCATAGTTCATTTTATCTGTCAGGATCCCCTATTAAATTGAGTTTTTGAAAGGTAGGAATTGAGCCTGTTGCCAGGCGCCAGCACTGAGCTGTTGTCTGCTGAATGAATGAATAGGGAAGAAAGGAGTGCTTCTCACTAATAAGGGAGTGATATCTAAGGTGAAAAAAAAAAAATCTGAACCAGAGACCCAGCAAGAGCTCTTCACAAATCAACCTTTCTTGGTGAATGAAATAACATGAAAAAAAAAGAGATCAAAACAGTGAAGATTACTTACATCATTTTTCACCTTTAGTGTTAATATTCTGTATTGTCTTCAGTACATTTTAAGCTGCATTCTTTGTAATATGAATCAAATGTTCCCCAGAGATAGATGCAATGCAGTATAATTCCTACAGATTCAATGTTCAATGACTTCTTTTTAGTTCAACTACCACATAATAGCTCTTAGGAGCTGACAGATTATCTTAATATTATCTTATACCTTCCAGTAACAGTTTATACGCTTATATGTGTGGTTTTAGCTATGCTCCTGGCATCACATGCCAGGCATAATGGAATTCTAAAAAGCTGTATCTACCTTTACATAACTTCCTAATTTTTGAGCCTTGCCCATTTCATGACAGGGAATGTCCTTTGAAACATGCCCTCTTTAAACTCTCAGGTCTTACATGTAAACTATGAATTTGTTCATTCTTCATGTTAGACTTCATAGGTGCCACCTTATCCCATGAAGACACATGAAAAGTAATGGCTTAGAAAGGGCTTTATGGTCAAAAATGCTCCCAGTCCTAATTTATTTCCTACTTTTCCCAACTTTCTCAAAAGGCCCGAATATTCAAATACTAAATACATGTTCTCTTTCCCCCAGGCACTGATACATCTGTCTCTGCAACAAACACACAGCAACTACCTTGTTTTGGTGCCACTTTGTATCTGAGCTCAGCCCTTATTTCTGTTTCAATTCACATAGTTGTGAGAACAAATTTCCCCAAGTACACAACATTTAGAAACAGCTTCTAGGGAAAGACATCCTTATCTGCACAGCCTGTCTCCCCTACCGCAGGCTCCTGGGCCTGAGCTCCTCAGCCTGAGTACATCACAGCAGGATCACAACCCATGGTAGTCTCTGACAGCTTCAAACTGTGGCCCTCCAGGGCAGGGACTAAAGTTTCTATTTAAAGCTTCCTCTGGCCACTGAAGACCCAAGGTACAAAGGTGTTTCTGGGTTTGGCAGTTCTGTTAAGCAGAATAGGGATAAAGAAAGCTAGAGATCCAAGTGCTATCATAGCAAAACGGTCTCCAAATACTAGGCCTGTGGACTCATCCTCAGATGAGTGGGAGCCTTCCACTACACTGGAGAAAAGAGGATGTCTGAAACTTCATCAGAGTTTCTAGAAAGACCTTCACCAAGAGCAAGAGGCTTCAGCTCAGTCAGCAGTGTCTCATCCTGCTCTGCACCCATCATCCCCACAAACAATTCTCTTCACCTCAGGAAGCCACTAACCCGCTCAAGCCTCAAAGAATAAGGCATCTTAAGAGTCTCAAATCTTCATTCTTGCAACCTTAAATCTTCATAATCTGTAAGATGATGTTTGTTCCCAGGTAAACCATTTGTTACTCCTAGGAGGAAGAGTCAGATCTTTGCCTGAGTGGTCCCATCTGTGATTATGACAGACCAAATATAACTACTCAATGTATCAACTTCTTGGTGAGGGAAAAGAAAGGAAGAGAGAGTGAAGCTGTCTTGTGTTCACAGTAATGTCTATGTTTTACAAGGTGACAGATGTATGAGCACCAGGAAGGATACATGATACCCCTGGTAGTGGCCCAACAGCTATGACATTTGAACACAGAGAAGGAAGTACAGGGCACAGGGCCAAGAATGAAATCAGAAAGGAGAGAAAGGTCACCTTAGGACTACAGTTATGGATACTTAACCAAACTGGCTGTTTTTACTCTAAACCCTGGGAGTTACGCTTCCTCAGCATGCCACCTATACATGTTTTATCAGGGCTGATGCCCAACCCTTCATCTCTAAAGTCTTGGGTCCGGTATTCTTTGGTGGTTTCCTCTTGTTCATCAGTGTAGCTATCTGCACTGAATCCAGCATTCTCTGCCAAGACAACAGGATCATCTTGATGAAAACAGCAGGAACATGTTTCTGGCTTTGGGTCACACAAGGCAACAGAATTATCTTCCTGGACTCTAGAGTCAGTGGGCAGACGTTCCCAGCCCAAATGGTCTGATTCTTCTTCCAGCTCTCCCATTCTTTCAGCTATTTCTTCAGCAGAGGGCTCTTTTGGATCAGGGTAATCCACCAGGATTGTTTCTTGCCTATGCTTGATACAGTCTGAAAGGTCATAAATTGGGTAAGTTTCTTCAGGGTAACCTAGAGAGAAAAGTAGCACAAAGTATTAAAAAGAATGTCTCCTCAAAAAAATAAAATCACACTCAAAGAGGATTCTCAGGCAACAGCCATCTATATCCTACCAAATCCATTCAAGAAATCTCTAAGGTGATTCTAATAGTTCTAAAGTTTCACTTGAACAAATTTCTGGCTCCCAGTACTCCTTGAAATACAAACCAATTCAGAGGAACATCCCTTCTTAAGTGTAAGGTGCTTGGGGCAGTTAAGTCTCACTCCACGTGTTTCTGATGAACATTAAACAAATAACATGAGCCTTCAGTTTAAAAAATGCACCAAATACCAGATGGAGAGAGCTTAGCTTAAAGCTAATGTTTATAATTTCTATTTGGAAGCATTTCCAAATCTTCTGGGGTGGGAGGTGGGAAAAGAAACATTAAGCCCTTTGAAAAGTACACCAAGAAGCTTTCTACTTCTTATAACAATTGAAATGGCTTGCAACTGTCAGAAACAGCACTTTAGCAAGACATGCCCAAGATCCCAAAGGACAAGCACTGCATTTTCAGAAGACAGAATTCCCATTGTTGGCTTCTTCCTCTTCAAAAAATGGAACAAAAGAAAACAACAAAGTGGTAAACAAAACGAGTAACACGGTTCTGCATCCCAGCTATGATAATAAGAAAAGAGAAAATGTTGCCAAATTAAGGAATGAAATGAAATAAATCTGTGTCAGCCAAAACGTGCTTGAGCAGCAGATGGGCCATGCTGGAGCTCATATGCCAGTGCTGGCAGTGGCAGCTTTGCTCACTACACAATGTGAAAGGCTGCAAAAATTTGAAATCCATTTGCACCTTAAGATAATTGGCAAATTCAACCAACCCTAATGTAAACCACTTTTTGCCTACCAGTTGTGAAAAATAGCTGTCGTTTGAGGTACAGCATAGGGTATACAGACACATTTTTACAACATCTATTATTTTTTTTAATTCACTGTATAAAATTTGAAAAAAAAATATGGACAACTTTTAAAAAGAACATACAAATCACCCAGAATCCTACCGCTGATAATAATTCGCCATATTTACCTTTGGCCTTTTTACCACATACAAACATTTTTGTTTTTCGCTTTTTCAAGAAAGGATCATATTACATATGAAACGCTGTACTTTGATTTTTTTCATTCAACATTGAATCATGAGCATTTCTCCATATCAGGCATTCAAAAGTTGGCTGCAAAGCTATATAACTGACATGATTTGCCATTCTTACAAAAGACATTTAGACAAATTCTTTTCAACTTTCCCCTATTATATGAACATAGCAGCTAAGAGTTCTGAATATAAATCCATGTCCACTTCTCTAATTCTTTAAGACAGACTTCTATAAATATACAAACTAGACTAAAAAGAATGGACATTTTAAAAGCCTTTTTTTATACTCTACCAAATTACTTCCCAGAAGACTGATATAAAATTTCAATTCTACCAGTGATGTAAAAACTGACTATCTTATCACCCCTCCCCAGCACTGACAGTAGTCTAAGAATCTTGCCAACAAAGTCTTTGTTCTAAGGAATAACTTACTGTGGACAGCATCTCGGTAACCACTGCTATAGTGTGGGTGCTTGTTTCCTCCAAAACTCATACTGAAACTCAATCCCCAAATCATACGTTAATAGTATTTGGAAGTGAGGTCTTTGGGCAGTAGTTAAGATTAGGTGAGGTCATAAAGGTAGGGCTCCCATGATGGCATTAGTGCCTTTGTAAGAAAAGGAAGAAAAATTCAAGTGAACAAGCTTGTTCTGTGTTGCTGTGTGATGCTCTCCACTACGTCATGATCCAGAAAGAAGCCATTACCAGATGACAAGCAGATGCTGACACTATGCTCTTGGACTTCCAGAACGGTGAGCTTCTAAATAAATCTCCATTTATAAATTAGTCAATCCATGGTGTTCAGTTATAGCAACTGAAAATGGACAAAGACAGCTACCCAAGGCCTTCACATGCTCTTTGGTCAAGGTTAGAGGCTGGGGAAGTCTGTTTCCTAGTTAGGTCTCAGTCACTGAATTCTTTAAAGAGAAATAAAGTTGTTGGCATGTTTTTGCCTTCACCCTACACCAAGAACAAAGCTTACCATTGGATTTCCATGACTACCTTTGGTTTAAGAGGGAAGGTAAAAAGACTCAAGACTCAAGACCCGGCCCAATGGCTCCAGGCCGCAGCTCATCCTGAGCACTAGCCTGGCCCCCATTTCCCCAGGCTTCAGGCCCACCCTAGTACCAGGCCCCAGGGTAGCTCAACAGTTCAAGTTAACATGCCTACACCTGGCAAACTCAACCTCCATACCAGCCTGTACAGGTTCCAGGCCTGCCCAGCATGGGGCCAGGCCCTGTGATTCCACACCAACCCAAGTTTCAGGCATGCCCTGGCACCAGGATGGAACCCCTGGCACCAGGATGGAACCCCTGGCACCAGGCTGGCATCTGGAGACACAGGCTCCAGGCTAGAGCCCACAGTCTAGTACACTGAGGGTGTAGGCCCATCCTAATAGACCCTAGTTCTGGGTCAGCTTCCAGAGCATGAGACTCCAGGATTGCCTCTGTGGACCCAAGGTCCAGGTTAGCTCCTACAGCCCTAGGACCCAGGTCTGCCCTCACAGATCAAGCCTTTAGGCCTACCCCTGAAAGCTCGAGCTCCAAAGCTGCCCCAACACCAAACCAGACATTATAGATGAGCCAGTACACAAAGACTGGAACAAATGCTTGCTTCTCCAAATGTGCAGACACCAACACCCAGATACAAGGATCAAGAACAATCAGGGAAACATGTCACCACCAAATGGTCAAAATAAAGCAACATTAACAGACCCTAAGGATCTGAATTCAGATACATAAACTACCAAAGAATTTAAAACAGCCATGTAACAGGACAGAAATACAGTATGAGAAATGTGTCATTTGGCAATTTCATCACTGTGCAAATATCATAGAGTGCACTTACACAAACCTAGATGGTACAGGTCAACCACTTCTTGTAGTCTCTTGATGAAATCAAGAGGCGTGGTAAACATGAGATGTATGAGTCTAGTGCCACCATAACAAGCCATATTGTTTCATAGCAAATGGTTGTATAAGTGAAAATACAGTCCAAAATAAAAAGTAAATATATAAACCAATAACATTACATATTATAAATAATTGTGTGCTATAGTTTTATGAGTAGTAGTACAGTAGATTTGTTTATATCAGCTTTTTACACACAAATTATGCATTGTGCTATGAGATTATGACAACTATGATGTAACTAGGCAATAGGAATTTTCTAAAGCTCCATTACGCTTATTGGACTACTGCTGTATTTGTATATGTGATGTCATTGACCAAAATGTCATTATGCAGTCCCTGACTATATTTTTTTTTGGTACCAGGGATCAAACTCGGGACCTTGGGCTTGCGAGCTATATTCATCTTTAATGAGATGCAGCAAACAAAGAGAATACTGTATAGACAAACAATTCAATAAAGTCAGGAAAACAATAAATGACCAAAAGAAGTAATTAATAGAGATTGAAATTATATACTAAAAAATAAAATTCTGGAGCTGAAAAATATGGTAAATGAAATGGTAAAATGCAATGTAGTACCCTCCCTACCAGTCAGAGAGGGATGTGTCCAAGATGGTGGATGCTCAAACTACAGGTAGTACCAAACTTTATGTATACTGTTTTTTCTTGTATATACATATCTATGATAAAGTTTAATTTATAAATTAGGGACAGTAAGCAGTTAACAGCAACAAGTAATAGAAAAATTGTGCACAAACTTTTCCAGGAAAAAAAGAATACACCTTAGTACATTTTATGAGGCCAGCATTATCCTAAAATAAAGACCAAAGACAGTACAGGAAAAGAAAATAACTGATAGCCCCTATAAACAGACATTTAAAAAAAATCCTTTGCAAACTAATCTAGCCACATGCATATGGGATCTTATATACACTGAATCTAGTCATAATATAATGACAAAGTAGGCTTTTTTTTTTTTACAGTAATGTAAGGGTTTTTTTAACATTCAACATTTAATGTAGGGGCTGGGGATGTAACTCAGTTGGTAGAGAATGTGCAAGGCCCTGGGTACACCACACAAACTCTCTCTCTCTCTCTCTCTCTCTCTCTCTCTCACACACACACACACACACACACACACACACACACACAATGTAAATCATCATACTAACTGGCTAAAGCAAAAATATATGATCATCTCAGATGATTTTTTAAAAAATTCAACATCCATTCTAGTCTTATTATCAGCAAAACAGGACTAGAAGGTAGTTTCCTCAACCTGAAAAAACAAATGAACAAAAAATATCTATGGAGAATGTGTGTTTTCCCCCATGTCAGGAAAGTAAGGATCTGTTTCACTCCTATTCAACACTGTGCTAGCCAGTGCAATAAAGCAAGCAAATAAATAAAAGGAATACAGGACAAAAAGGAGGAAGTAAAACTGTCTTTATCCACAGGCAACGTGATCATCCAAATAGAAAATCTTAATGAATCTAATCCTAAAAAATCTATTTTTTTAAAGCTACTAAAACTAAGTGCATTAAACAAAGTCATAGGATATAAGGTCAAAACATAAAAATCAATTATATTTCTATTGTTCTAGTAGCAACAAGCAATTACAAATTTTCAAACATCATCTGTGATAACAGAAGAAATATGAACTACCTAGGGATAACTTTAGAAAATATATATAAGACCAATATACTGGAAAGGAAGATATATATACTAAAAACTTCAAAGCATTACTAAGAGAAATTTTTAAAGATTTAAATAAATGAGGAGATATAACAGGCTTATGCATTGGGAGATTCAACATTAATATCAATCCTTACATATTGATCTAAAGATTTAATGCAATGGCAAGCAAAATCCTATCAGGCTTTTTCAATAAAAAAACTGACACTGATTATAAATTTATATAAAAATATGAAGCACTTTGATTGTAAATATATATAAAAATGTGAAAAACCTAAAATAGCCAAAATGACTTTAAAAAAACTGAACCAGCACTACCCGATTTTAAGGGTTACTATAAAGACATAGAAATGAAGACAGTGTGATAATCAGTGGAAGTACATATAGAGTAATGAACAGAATAAAGCCTGGAACAGATACATGAGTTAACTGACTTGCAGCCAATATGCCAAAGTAATTAAGTGTATCAAAAGGAAATGGAAGAAGTGGGTATTGATAATGCAATAAATAAATAAATAACACAAGCCTAAGTTCTCATATCTCATATCATCTACAAAAATTAATTCAAAATATATCAGAAGCCTAAATATAAGAGCTCAAACCATGAAACTTCTAAAAGAAAACACACAAGTTTGGCAAATCATGGGATGGACAACGACTTCTTAACTAGAATATAAGAAAATGTAAATTATGAGAGAAAAAAGATAACTTGGATTTCATCAAAATTAAAAACTGCTCTCTGAAAGATTTTGCTAACAAAAAGGCCAGCCACAGATTAGAAGAAAATATTTGTAAAATACATATTTGATAAAGGACTTACTTGTATTCAGTATATATAAAGAATTCCTGAAACTCAGTAAGAATATAATCAACCCAATTTTTAAAAATGGCAATCTATACAGATACTTCATCAGACACATACAGATGGCAAGTAAGCACATGAAAAAATGCTCAACATCATTAGTGACTGGAGAAATACAAATTAAAGTCACAATGAAATACCACTATATATTCACTAGAGTGGCTAAAATTAGACTGACAATATCATGTTAGCAAGGGTCTGGAGTAGCTGCAATTACAGCCACTTTGGAAACTAAGCTGACAGCTTCTAAAGAAGTTACACATACACTTAGCATAAACTCTAGAAATTGCACTCCAAAGCATATACCCAAAAGAAATACCAATATATGTTCAAACCAAGCCTTGTATATAAAACTTCATAGCAGCTTGATTCATAATAGTTCAAAGCTAGAAACAACCAAAGTGCTCAACTGGAGAATGTATAAACAAAGTATGGCTCATCCATGTAACAAAATACTACTCAGCAATAAAAAAAAAAAAGAACTGCCGATCACTCAACAACATACGAATCTCAAAAGCGTTATGTTAAATCAAGCCAGAAACCAGAAAGCATATGCAGTATGATCCATTTGTATATAAAAAGCAAAACCACAGGGACAGAAAGCAGTTCAGTTACTGCCAGCAGCAGGAAAAGGGGATTTCCTGGGGTAACAGAAATATCCTATACCAAGATTGTGGTTTGATGATATAATTATATCTATTTGTCAAAATTCATCCAGTTGTACACTTAAAATTGGTAAGAATTATTACACCTATTTATATATTATATATAATACCTCAATAATAGAACTGATTTGTATAAGTGTTAAACATCTCTTTCCTGGGCTAACAGCTTAGGAAGAAGTGAGAAGATGCTGTTTACCTTCCCAATCCTCCATGTAAGGGGCTTCCTCAGCTTCCTTCTCAGGAGTAGACCTGTCAATGAACTTTCCTTCTTTCATAACCCTGGTGATTTCTCGGAGCTGATGCAGCAATCGTTTTTCTTGGTCAGAAGTCACAGTCTGTGCTCTGCTTAGAAATATCAGACAATCCAGCCAATTTAGCAGTAAATACTCCTAGGCAATGGACAGAAACATCACTATGATCTACTTGAATCATAGAACAGGAAGTGTAATAGCAGTGGATAATTATTCTAGGAAGTGATCCTGGAACTACATAGTGGGAAACTAGAGATGTTATTTCAATGTTTTGACTTTATCAATGGGAAAGCTAAGGCCCAGAATAGATCAAGGATTGAGAATGAGTTAATGTCAATACTGTGACAAGAACCCAGATATCTCCACTTTTAGTTCAATGCTTTCACTACATCTCACTGTCTTGAGTGAGATGTCTTGTCTAATATCCTAGCAATTTTAGTTACTCTCACATTTACTCCATTTATTCCAGACTACTTTTCTCTTTTTCAAAGAAAAATGTTCTAGGTCACTAGCTTCATTGAGGGAAAAATACGCTACTAGAAACATCAGGCTTAATCTAGTAGTGCGGGAATAAGGATATATTCTAAAATTTCAGAGCTGGATAATTCTGAAAACTCAATCGCCTCAATCAGAGAAACTGGGGAAACTGAGGTGTATAGGAGAGAAATTATGTATGTATTCATAGTGCTAGTTAACCATAGCACAATAACAAAAATGATTTTCTTGACTTCTGATAGCATTCTGTACAATTCTTCCCCCTGTGCTAGAGATTAAACCCAGAGCCTCACAAAAGCTAGGAAAGTGCTCTACCACTTAGCTACACCCCAGACCTTATGTGCAATTCCCGAAGCACAGTGCTCTAGTTTAGAAAACCTCGTTTGAGTCCCAACTTAGCTGTGTGGCTCTGGGCAAATATCTGCAAAAATAACATGAGGTTAAAGGATAAAGTTTCTCTTGAGAGGAAAGCAGTGCACCACACTGAAAGATGGACAAAGCCCTGCTTAGAAGACAGAGAACTACCTAAGAACAGTTTTATCTAGTGACAGGATTTAAGAGAGGCTATTTACGCTCTCCTCAAAACCAAAAGCATTTCAAATTAACCTAACACTCATGAAGGAAAAATGATGCATTCATTCTGTACCATCCTGGTGGAAGTGTCCTCTATTCTTTTCCCCAGCCAGTTCAGGGCCAGGGGGTGTTCTTTTTTTATGGTTAGCCTAACAAATTTTAGCCTTAATTGCTAATACAGAAAAAGTGTTTCTCCTTCCAACTTTTAAGGCGGTAACTAAGGAGAATGAAGGTGTGACATTTCCACCTAACAAGTGAGAAAAACACTACAAGTTCCACTTCTTCAACACCAAACAGCATTTTAAAGCCATGAATGGAAGAAGCCTGAATCTTCTGTTTTCAGCTAGAATCTTGTATTTACAGTGCCTCGTACAGCTCTATTTTTCCCATTAGTATAGGAGTCCTGATTCACCACAGCTACACCTGTGTCCCACATGGGCCCTTACTCTTACTATTAAAACCATCTGGGCTGAGGATTTAGCTCAGTGGTTCCAGCATCTGCCTCGAAAGCGCAAGGTGCCAAGTTCAATCCCTGGTATAAAAACAAACAAACAAACAAAAACCCCATCTATTTTGTGGGAGAATTCAGGGGGGAGACTAGAAGAGCCTACTGGTTTACCACAAAGCTCTGGGCCACAGGCTTCACAGGCCACTTTTCTGGACTGTACACAGGGCATCCTGATGTTTACTGAAACAGTCTTGATTTCTGCTTCTCAAAAAAATTGGAAGCCCTTAACAACAACAACAAAAAATAACAAAAAAAGATAACTGGCTGAGAAACAAGAACAGAAAAGAATTCAAACTAAAGCATCCTCCTTTCGCTCTGATCAAGTGTACTCATACTGTTCATTAAATGTATTAGGTATTAACCACTGTCCACCTTATGACATCTTCTTCTGAATTTACTGGAATGAACACTTTCACAGATTCCTTATTGTCTCAAATTGATCTACATTCTTGGAAACCAGTGATAATATGTTCACAACAATACAGGCACTCTGTTATGATCACTGTAAGTGTTCAATAATGTGTGTTAGTTTGCCTGGTTCTTCTTTTTCTCACTTCTGTTTTCTTCTACCTCTCTGAAATCTGGCTCCTATGCCATCATTTTACTAAAACTTATAAAATTCACCAATAACTGCTTTATTCCTAAATCCAAGGGTCTTTTTCTCTCAGTTCATTCTTTTTGGCTTCTCTACACTATGGACCATCCTTTTCCTTGAAACTGTAGTTATTGAGACATTTGTGTTCCTCTCTCTTTTTTGTTTTAGTTTTTCTTTTTGTTCCTCCCTCTTCTTTAGCCCACCCTCTGAACTCTGTTCTTAACTCACTTTCCTTCTCCTGCTTCATAAAACAGAGTTTTTCAGAAGGGTCAATCCTAGGACACCTAGTTCTCCATTCTTACAATAGTGACTTCAAGAAGCTGACCCATTATCACTGTCCCTCTACACGGATGTCCTAACTCTACTATTAATATTTACCTTCCACGGGCCGGGGATTTAGCTCAGTGGTTTTGTCGCCTGCTGCGCAAGTGCAAGGACCTGAGTTCGATCCCCGGTACCAAAAAAAACTATTTACTTTCCACATAACATCCATCTGTAACTCTTTTTCTTGGGCATATCCATTTGGAGTTCTTGCCACTACATTAAACCTTAAATTAACTTTAAAGTCACTCCCTCAAAACTAGGGTGCAGCTGGACCTGGATCACAAGCCACTGCACAAACAGGCAGGCCAGGAGAGGTTGAGTATAAGAGTTTCCAAGACATTAGGAGAATAAAAGGCCATAGCTAGGAAGTAACATCATCAGACCTTCAACCAGAGGAGTCATCAAGTTCTGAGTTCAAGAGTTAACACAGAGAATGAAACAGATTCTAACAAAACTACTCATGGTTAAAACAGAAATCGGGCCAGCAAGAGAAGACTGCAGGCTACTACAGCAAAGCATGATGGGCATAAAGGATCAGGTGATCTTCCTTTTCTTGTGGTGTTTATCTCTTACTCCCAACAAAGGATTTCTAAACTCGAGTCTTGTTCTGACCTCAAGACCCAAATTTCCTGTTGCTGTTGCATATATATATATTTTTTTGGTACTGGGGATCGAACTTGGGTCCTTGCGCTTGCGAGGCTGGGGGTGGCACCACTGAGCTAAATCTCCGGCCCCGTTGTATATTACACATGGATGTTTTGATGGCATTTCAACCATATTTAAAGCTGATCTCATGTTTCCTACCAAAGTTTCATCTTCAGTCTCTTTTGTGTTTTATCTTGGTTAATGCTATAATCTTCTAGTAAATGCTATAAATCTTCAACTTGGCTATATGTCTTTCTTCTCTTTCATTGATCTTATCTAATTAGAAGTTTTCCTTTGGGGAACCAATCTCTCCACTACTTATAGTACAAAGGTTAGGGTAAAGCCATTCGTCCCCTACGCTCTCCTGCTAGGCTGGCCAGTGCTTAATCATCCCATTCCGCCCTCTTGGGCACAGTGTTTGATTCAGGGATAGATATGATACATGTTGGACCAACTACACTTTCTCTCAGAATTTGATCTTGAACACAATAAAGCCTATACTGCATACTTTTTTTTGATGTTCATTCATCCTGGAAGCAGCCCTTGGAGAATGTCCCTTTGTTCCTGCTCTCTAAATCCCCACAGCTGCCCTGGATGTTCAGATGTCCCTTTGGTATTGTGAGCCACCTCATATTCTTCTAATAAATTCTGCCCCCTCCCCCGTATTATTATTATTTTTTGACAGGATAGCACTAAGTCTCTATGTTGTCCAGGCTGGGCTTGATCTTGCAATCCTCCTGTCTCAGACTCTCAGAGTGCTTGAATTTGAGGCATGTACCACCACACCCAGCTTCTCCCTTTCAAATTTTTGCTGGAGTTGGCTATTTACAAAAAGGAATCCCAATAAAGCCTGCTAGTAGTTTTTCCACAAAATTCCCTCAATTTGTTCCCTCTGTTCTTATCTCACTGGCCTATTATTACCTTTTTCTAGGACTTTTTCAATAATCTTCTAGCATGTAACCACTCTGCATATTACTATGTGCAATTTTTCTAAACACAACAAATCATAACCTTTCTCCTCAAAATCCTTCAGAGGTATATCACTATAAAGAAAATAAATTCCAAACTTCTCAGACTACCATAGACGGCCTTTGGGTATGGCTTCAGTTTACTTTTCTAATTTTCCTCCCATTATCTCTACCTCTACTCATTTATCCCAGCCCTACATCACACAAGTTACTTAGGACTACTTGTACTACCTACCATTCTGAAACCTTGACTACACTTTCCTACTTGTTTGCTGCTTGTACTGACCTCTCCTCTGAAACATTCTTTTCCTAAATTCTGACAAAATTCTTCCATACCATAAGGGTGTGCATATGTGCACGTGTGTGTGTGTGTGAGGTGGTACCGGGGCATTCTGCTATTGATCCTAGTCCCCAGCCCTTTTTTATTCTTTATTTTGACACAAAGTCTTACTAAGTTGCCCAGGTGGGATTCAAATTTGCAGTCCTCCTGCCTCAGCCTCCCTCAGGGTTGGGATCACAGGTGTGTATCACTGCACCCTGCTCCTAAGACTTATTCAAATTCCCTTTTCCACAAGACCGTCTGTAGAAAGCAAAATAAGGCCCCCTAAAGATGTCCAGGCCCTAATCCCTGGAATCTATGAAGATGTTACCTTACACAAAGGGGAATAGAGGCTGCTAATCTGCTAATGTTGAATTTTTTTTTTTTACTCGCACCGGGAACTGAACTCAGGACCTTGCCTTTGCCAGGCAGGCACAGTAATCTGCTAATGTTACAGGGTAACTGCCCTGGATTATCTGAGAGTCACAGTGTAATCGTAACTGTTCTTAAAAGTTGGAGAGAGAGGCAGAAGAGGTCAGAGTGATACAATGTGACAGGGTCTCAACCTACTGTTGCTTGCTTTGAAGATGGAGAAAGAAGATCATGGGGGAGGCAGCTTATAGAAGCTGAAATGATTAACAGATTCTGCCATAGCATCTTGAAAAAG